ATTCATCAAAGTTGATGGAAAAGTTGGCCTAGAGGTGAAAAGGAAGGGATTCCTAAAAGAATTTCACTAGCATCTCTAAGTTAAGATGGCAGGGGCTGCAAATAATTGGAGAAAATATTTTCAAATCACATATGTGAAAGAAGGTTCATATTAAGAATATATAGAGAACTCCTAAAACACAACAGCAATCTGATTCAAAATGGGCAAGAGATTTGAAAGGTGTTTCCTCAAAGAAGACACACCAATGATCAATAATTATATGAGAAGATGCTCAACATCACTAATTATTAGGAAAACCAAAACCACAATGATATACTACTTCACAGCCATTAAGATAGCTATGATTTAAAAAATATTGATGAGGATGTGGAGAAATCGAGCACTGTTGGTGGGATTGTGAATAGTGCAACTACTATAGAAACAGTATGACGATTCATCAAAAAATTAAAATTAGAACTACCATATGATCCAGCAATTCTACTTCTGGATATATACCCCAAAGAATTGAAAATAAGGACACGAAGAGATATTTGCATATCCATGTTTGTAGCAGCATTATTCACAATAGTCAAAAAGTGGAAGAAATCTAAGTGTCCAACGATGAATAAATGGATAAACAAAATGTGTACATAATGGAATAATATTCAGCCTTAAAAAGGAATGAAATTCTGACACATGCTACTACATGGATAAACCTGGAAGATGTTATGCTAAGTGAAATAAGCCAGTCACAGAAAGACAAATACTATATGACTCCACTCATGTGGAGTATTTAGAATAGTCAAAGTCATAGAGACAGTAAATAGAATGGTGGTGGGGGTGGGGAGGAGAATGGGTTGTTATCATTAGTAGTACAGAGTTTTAGTTTTTCAAGATGAAAAAAGTTTCTTGGATGGATGGGGTGGTGGTGATTGCATAATAACATAAATGTACTTAATGCCATTAAAATAGACTTAAAAATGGTAAATTTTATAATATAAAATTAACATAAATTTCCAAATGTACAAGAAAATTGGCAAAATACAATCATGAAGGGAAACAATGTATTTTTATCAATCTTCAACATATTGAGTGAATAAACAAATGAGTATATCAAGAATTTTAAGGATGTAAGGAACCTGATGCAATGAACATATACTTGACTTCACATTCAAGTAAATGTGTGTATGTATGTATATATATACATACGTAGATGATGGGAAACACTTCTCAATCACATTAGTGCCTTCTCAGACATGCCTTGACCAGTATACACACTGGACCATGAGACTCACTCTCAGTAAACCTATAGTGGAAGTTTGTGAAAACAGTCTTTAGCAGTTCTAAAGAAAAGATAAGTAATGTCTCCCTATAAAATAGACACAATAAAAAAGGAAAAACTTAAAAATAAATCTCTAAGTTATATTACAGAGATTTAAGAACACATAAGGAAACTTTCAAAAGAGAGAAGTCTGAGATTAGGAAACTTCTTTAAAGTGAAAAAATATGGTGTTGAATTAAAATCATGTAATGGGAGCATGAACATTAATTAGAACAATGCAGAAAACTATAGATGAATGGAAATTCTTACAATACTCATAGACACATAAAAAATGAAATAATGAGAAAATGGAAGCTACAATTCAACAAATTAAATATTAAAAAACAGAAAACAGAATTTTTCAGGGGAAGAGGAAATGCAAGATGAATTATAATAAAAAACATAAAAAATAATCATTCTGGCCCTTACCGGTTTGGCTCAGTAGATAGAGCGTCAGCCTGCGGACCGAAGGGTCCCAGGTTCGATTCCGGTCAAGGGCATGTGCCTTGGTTGCGGGCATATCCCCAGTGGGGGGTGTGCAGGAAGCAGCTGATCAATGTTTCTCTCTCATCGGTGTTTCTAGCTCTCTATCCCTCTCCCTTCCTCGCTGTGGAAAATCAATAAAATATATTTTTTTAAAAAATAATCATTCTGGTATCAATTCATAATAGTTCATTGTGTACCAGGGACAATAAAAGTATATTCTGGTGAAAGTTATTAATTTATAAGAATAAAAAAATCTATTGGTATATTAACCACTGAAATCCTTTACTGACAAGAAGTATTTACTCAATATATTCTGATGAAAAAGGAAATTAATGAACATTAAAATTTGAGAATGTAGCAGATGTGGTATAAAAGATATGAGGTGGATAATGAAACCTGTCAAATATAGACTTAGTGTTTATATGTCATTATTATAGTTATGGAAAAATGCAACTATCAAAAATCATTCTTAATGAAAAAAGATACATGAAAAATTTAATGACAATAATTTCAGGCTAAAAACTCAAATTACTCCAGAAAAAAAACTCAAGTGCTAAATCTCTCATCTTGTACTATGGGAGACATTGAATATTGTTTCATTGTTGATATAGATAAATATGTTTAAATATATATATATTAATTAAATCTTTATTGTTCAGATTATTACATTTGTTCCTCTTTTTTCCCCCCCACAACTCCCCTCCACCCAGTTCCCACCCCACCCTCCGCCCTTACTCCCCACCCATTGTCCTCATTCATAGGTGCGCGATTTTTGTCCAGTCTCTTCCGCATCTCCCACACCCCTTCCCCCCCGAAGAATAGTCAGTCTATTCCCTTTCTATGCCCCTGATTCTATTATAATCACCAGTTCATTCTGTTCATCAGATTATTTATTCACTTGATTCTTAGATTCACTTGTTGATAGATGTGTATTTGTTGTTCATAATTTGTATCTTTACCTTTTTCTTCTTCTTCCTCTTCTTAAAGGATACCTTTCAGCATTTCATATAATACTGGTTTGGTGGTGATGAACTCCTTTAGCTTTTTCTTATCTGTGAAGCTCTTTTTCTGACCTTCAATTCTGAATGATAGCTTTGCTGGTTAAAGTAATCTTGGTTGTAGATTCTTGGCATTCATCACTTTGAATATTTCTTGCCACTCCCTTCTGGCCTGCAAAGTTTCTGTTGAGAAATCAGCTGACAGTCATGTGGGTACTCCCTTGTATGTAACTAACTTTCTTTCTCTTGCTGCTTTTAAGAGTCTCTCTTTGTCTTTTGCTCTTGGCATTTTAATTATGATGTGTCTTGGTATGGTCCTCTTTGGATTCCTTTTGTTTGGGGTTCTCTGCGCTTCCTGGACTTGGAAGTCTATTTCTTTCACCAGGTAGGGGAAGTTTTCTGTCATTATTTCTTCAAATAGGTTTTCAATATCTTGGTCTCTCTCTTCTTCTGGCACCCCTATAATTCTGATGTTGGTACGCTTGAAGCTGTCCCAGAGGCTCCTTACACTATCTTCGTATTTTTGGATTCTTTTTTCATTTTGCTTTTCCGGTTGGGTGTTTTTTACTTCTTCGTATTTCAAGTCTTTGACTTGATTCTCGCGATCCTCTGGTCTGCTGTTAGGAGTCTGTATAATATTCTTTATTTCAGTCAGTGTATGCTTAATTTCTAGTTGATCCTTTATCACAACATCGAGGGTCTCACTAGATTTCTTGAGGATCTCACTACATTTATCGGCGGTCTCACCAGTCTTTTCGGGGGCCTTACTAAATTTATCGGCGGCTTCTAGACAGTTCTTGAAACACCTTAAAAGTGTGGTTTTGAACTCTATATCCAGCAGTTTTCTTTCCTCCATTTCTGTCATTTGTGTCCTGTTTCTTTGTCTCCGCGTTTTTTATGCTTTCTTGGTGCACCCCCTTGTGGTCTTGGTGCACAGTCTTGTTGTAGTTAAGCCTTGATTGTTGTAGGTAACACTGGGGGGAATTCGACCTCCAGGCCAATTGGCTGTGAGAATCAGCTGTGTCTTCAGTGGGAGAACTTCTGTCCTGATCTCTAGGGAGGTGCTAATCTAGCTTCTGCCTGAGGCTATCCAGCAAATGCCTCTGTGCAAGGTTTGGGCGGGGCAGGTCCCAGGGGATCAACAGGGTGGGGCTAGCAGTTATGGCTGCTCTCAGTCCTGCCTTCAGAGGCTCTGCTTCTCAGTGTCCCAGCAATTGCTGCAAGTACCTCGGAGAGAAAGCTGCCCTTGAGTTCCGACCGATGCCAGACAGTCCTGCTTCTCCTGTTTGAGTCTGGGTCCCCAGAGACTCGCCCGGAGCTGGAGCTCAGAGCCTGAGACTCCCTCCCAATTGAAAAAGACAACTGTGCCCTCAGCCGCCAGCCCGCTTCACATGCACCTCCGCACCTTAATATTTTACTTCCGCACCGCACCTCCTCTGAGTCTCAGTATGCTTTTCTCTTTCCTTCTAGTTGTAGAATCTCCACTCAGCCAGCCTTCCTGTGGTTCTGGGTGATGTCTGTTCCGTCTTTTAGTTGTATTTTTGAAGTGGTTGTGCGAGGCAGCAACCTCCGGTGTTTACCTATGCCGCCATCTTGGTTTCTCCCCTAAATATATTTTTTTAATGAGAAAGAGAACAGATGAACATAAAACTAGAACTGTCACATTTAACTTCAAAATTAAGAGTAATTTTTGTTATAGCCAAGATTAAAATCTAATAAAGAAAATAGCAAGGGAACATAAAAAAAAAGAAAGTATAATGTTATAGCCAAAATTAAATTCTAATAAAACAGCAAGGGAACATAAAAAAGGAAAGTATAAAATAAGATGCCAGAAGTGAGGTCAAACATATTATCACATTAAGTGTGACTAGTTAAATAGTTTCTATTAAAAGACAAACAGACATATTCAGTAAAAACTAACTTTAAATATATGCTGTTTTAAACAAAACGGGACAGAAAGAAATAAAATAGGGGGAAAAGAAAGGGCATAGATATACCAGGAAAATGCAAAACAAAGAAAGATGGGAGATCAATATTAATATTAGAAAAGAAGAATTTAATGCGGGAAACTTTAAGTGATGCATTAAATGTGACTAAAAGAATCCACTAGAAGACATACATCCTTAAATATTGTTATTCTGATTAACATAAATTTCAAAATATAGAAAAAAATTAACAATCATGAAGGGAAACAATGTATTTTTATCAATTTTCATCATATTGAGTGAACACACAAATTACTATATCAAGAATTTTAAGGGCGCTGCCCAGACTAGCGAACAATACAGTCAGGATGGCTAAAGGTGATCCCAAGAAGCCAAAGGGCAAGATATCTGCATATGCCTTCTTTGTGCAGACATGCAGAGAGGAACATAAGAAGAAAAACCCAGAAGTTCCAGTCAATTTTGCAGAGTTTTCTAAGAAGTGCTCTGAAAAGTGGAAGACCATGTCGGCAAAAGAGAAATCTAAATTTGATGAGATGGCAAAGGCAGATAAAGTACGCTATGATCGGGAAATGAAGGATTATGGACCAGCTAAGGGAGGCAAGAAGAAGAAGGACCCAAATGCCCCCAAAAGGCCACCGTCTGCATTTTTCCTTTTCTGCTCGGAATTCCGCCCCAAAGTTAAATCTACAAACCCTGGAATTTCTATTGGAGATGTGGCAAAGAAGCTTGGCGAGATGTGGAATAACTTAAGGGACAGTGAAAAGCAGCCTTACAACAATAAGGCTGCAAAACTGAAGGAGAAGTATGAGAAGGATGTTGCCGACTATAAGTCTAAAGGCAAGTTTGATGGCCAAGGGTCCCGCTAAAGTTGCCCGGAAAAAGGTGGAAGAAGAAGATGAAGAGGAGGAGGAGGAAGAGGAGGAGGAAGAAGAAGAGGAGGAGGAGGAGGAGGATGAATAAAAAAACTGTTTATCTGTCTCCTTGTGAATACCTTAGTGTAGGGGAGCGCCGTAATTGACACAGCTCTGATTTGAGAGGTGTCTGTTGCCCTCATTAGGATTAATTACACAATTGGGTCATGATCATATGTAGTCTCTCAAAGTGCTCTAGAAATTGTCAGTGGTTTACATGAAGTGGCCATGGGTGTCCAGAGCACCCAGAAACTGTATCAAAGTTGTACATATTTCCAAACATTTTTAAAATGAAAAGGCTCTCGTGTTCTCCTCACTCTGTGCACTTTGCTGTTGGTGTGACAAGGCATTTAAAGATGTTTCTGGCATTTTCTTTCTCTTTTTTTAATCTGTAAGGTAGTGTTACCTATTTGGTTATTGGCTAGAAATCCTGAGTTCTCAACTGTACATATCGATAGTTTCTAAAAAGAACAAACAACCAAGACAAGCTCTTGATGCTCTTTGCTTGGCGTTGAGGCTGTGAGGAAGATGCCTTTTGGAGGGGCTGTAGCTCAGGGCATGCACTGTGAGGCTGGACCTGTGGACACTGCAGTGGGCATCCATTTAGCTTCAGGTTGTCTTGTTTCTGTATATAGTGACATAGCATCCCGCCATTCTTAGCTGTGGGAAAAGGTGGGTCAGGTGGCATGAGAAGTATTTGGATCTTTTTTTTTTTTTTTTAGTTGTGTGGTAGTTTTAAACTTTGTTTTAAAACAAACTACAACTCTTCATTGTCAACGAAGTGAAGAGTCACTGCATCAATGAAAGTTCAAGAACCTTCTGTACTAAACACGATTTGCAACGTTTTGTTAATTTTTGTATGTTTAGAATGCTGAAATGTTTTTGAAGTTAAATAAAAACAGTATTACATTAAAAAAAAAGAATTTTAAGGATATAAGGAACCTGATACAATGGATATATACTTGACTTCACATCAAGCATAAATGAATATATATTTATTAAAATGCTTATGATGTGCTGGGGGTGGTGTGGCTGGGGAGAGATCAATGGGGGGAAAAGGAGACATATGTAGTACTTTAAACAATAAAGAATTTAAATATTTTTAAATGCTTATGAAATATTGAGAAATTTTTTATCACATTTTTTAAAAAAGTAGAAATTTTCCCAGCAGTAAGAAAAAATAGAACCGAAGTAGAGTTACTCTAGGATAATTTATTCTAGAAACTTGATGTAGCCTGGCTGCACACCCACCTGCCACTCTTATTTCAGCATTCAGGAAGAACAAGATTCAAGACCTGCTATTTGACAAGCATCAAGTCTATAGAATACTTCCTTCTTTAAGAATGAGTAAACAGTAAAACTAGATAAGGGAGAAAGAATAGCATACAGAATAAAAATAAATGAACTCCTCCAGTTAGACCTCAAAAGACATTTTAGGAGACTGGAATCCTCTTAAGAGGGCAAGGAGCCAGGGCCTCTACAAATCAGAAGAGAACCAGAATAGGCTGAGATGAAAACAAAATATGGTATGCAATGATATGAATGAAGTATGGAAGGATTGCAAGGAAACTAGAACACAGTAACACAATTAAACTCTATTAGGTAGAACTAATGAGCAGAGTTTAGTCTATAGAAAATCAGATTAAGTATGGGGAGGAAGCGATGCCATGAAGGATAGTTAATTAGTACTAAACCCAATTAAAAAAAAAGAGATGTCTAGCTAATTATTGTAAATCCAGTTTTAAAATAGTATGCAAAAGTAAAATTCAAAGAGAAGATATGCATTGTTACAAAAATTATGAAACAACAAACGTGAATTTGAAACCCCAGACTACATTTGTAAAAGCCTGGGAAACACTGGTGTTTGTCCAGAGTCTACAGGAAAGGATGGGACACTGAAAACAAAATGCTCTTAGTGCCTTGGTTTAACTATGAGAGCATCATCTCATTTTTGACATTTAAATTTAGAAAATAATAGTTACATAATACCTTTTTCATTAATCTATCTTATAAGAAAACATACTTTATATGGCAAAAGACAGAAAATAAAGGACATAGCATTAAAAAAATTAGAAGAAGCAAAACATGATGAGATCAGTTACCTCCATTATAACAATTAACAAAAACAAATGAAATAACCTAACCTACTTTTAAGAAAGGTCTGCATATTAGGTCCAAAACTAAAATCCAACCATATGTTGTTTACCATAGTCATTCCTAAAATAAAATGACGTGCAAATATTAAAATAAAAATTCAAGACAAATATCATTAAATAGGACAATGAGGGTTGTTTTATAATGAAGAATCCAGCTCACAGTGAAAATTTACCGTCATGGAAATGTATGCATCAATAAATGTTGATAGATGAAAAGGTCATGCTGCATACAAAACACAATAATGGTGAAAGACTTCAAAATGCCACTCTAGGGCTTTCATATATCAAGTAATCAAACAAGAAATAATATAAATAGAGGAATTGTGAAATGCAATTTTAAAAAATATATGTTGCATTATATCTAACATGCAAAGAATAAATTTCTTTTCCAGGGCTTATGGAACATTTACAAAAATTAATTCTATATTAGGTTACAAATAAAACCTCAGCAAGTACCTTTAAAGCAAAAATAGTAAAGGTCATAGTCTTAACCATTAAAAATGAGTAACAAAACAATAAATAGCAACATGGGGGACAAGTAATGAATTATGGTCCATTTATACAATAATATACTCTGTAGCCATGAAAAACACTATTTTATGTAGAAGAATGTTTAATAACACCAAATAATGGTCACCATATATTGTTAAGTGAAAAAGTTAAAAAAAAAAAAAAGTTAAAAAAATTCAATGCATACATCTGTACATGATAGAAGTCCATAAAAGATTTACAGCAAAATGTTACTTGTGGCTATGGTTAGTGGTAAGATTATATGTGATTTTTATTTTAGAGTCATTTAAAATATGATAGGGATTCTTGGCTAAGATTAGTATCATGCTTACACTGTTTACACTTTGTAGAATCTATAATCTTCCTTTTTTAATAATAAAGATAAGATTAAATTTGCTTGCTGCTAATCTATTGGCTTTTTGCTGTCGTTCTCCAAAATTTTTCAAAGATCAAGGAAACTGCGCAATAACCTCCACTAGCAGTTCTCCTGGTCATCCTTGTTCCCAGGCTAAGCCGTTCTTTGCTCTTCTTGCTCTGAAATGAACTAGTCCACTTCCCAAACTACCCCTAATCTTTTTATTTTGCCAATAGTTTTTATTTGTTTATGTCTCTTACTATTTTCAGATCATTTTGAGCTATTTTTTTCATGAAGTAATTCATATACATTTGTTCCCTCTTCCTATATCTACCTTATTTCTAAAGGTTGTTTTTTCAGATATGAACCCATGGACATGCAGGCATTTTTTTTTAAGGACCATTCTTTTTTCTGTCTTCTCTTAGCCTTAATCTATAGTTTCTGGCTATTTATTACAGCCAGGCTTCTCCTTCTTGACAACCCTGACCTCTGAGTTGGAATGGCTTCTCTCTCCAAAAAAAAAAAAAAAAAAAAAAGTCTCTGCATACTTCAGCAGGCAGGGTCTTTCTGTTGGTCAGAAGGAGGCCCACAGGAGTTCATCTAGTTAAGCTTCATGACCCCATGACAAGAGTGAAATAAAAACATTTGTATGATGCTCTATTTTTAGCTCAATGAGACTTTCTGCAAACGCATAGCCAGGACAAGTTCCCTTTCACTGCTTCAACTTCCCTTGTGCCAGAATAGTAGTGGCTGGGAATGCACCCTGCATCTTCTCCTTGTGGCCAAGTGGCCTATGGACAATGCTCACAATGCTATTACACATGTTCCTTGCCCTTTACTGCTCACTCATAAGGTGCTCTGCCTTTAGGGTCATAAAGTCCCATCATAAGCCAATTTTTGGTCCAAAGCCATGTTGCCATATAGATATAGCCCATAAATACAGCTTAAAGCACTCTTTGCAATCCTATATACGTATGTGTATTTGTGTGTGTCACTAGGCATCTCCCCTATCATGTTTGTCTTTTTTTTTTTTATCACTTTGGATAGATTCATGGTATTATTCCAGCTCTTTGACCTCTTCCTCATCAGCCCCCAGGCAAATAAATACCTCTGCCCCCAGCTCATGAGTTACAAGTCTTTCATTACTAGACATGAAAGTAATGATAAATTACTTTCAGCATCTGATAAATCATGACCCAGAAAGCTACATCTAGTATTGACGTTGTTTGCTTCCTTTTTATCCCAGAACCCCAACTGTCAACAGAAAGAATGCATGACAACTATCATTCCTAGTCCCAGATTTTTCACTGTCTTGACCCAAACTAGTGGAAGATTGGATTAAACTAGATGATAAAGGACCTTGAATGCCTGGAAAAGAAATTAGACACAAACTGATAGTCAATAAGAAGCAGTTATTGGTTCCTAAGAAAGAGAATAATTGAAGCTAGTAGCTTTTGTAGAGTAGAGTGCTCATATGCAGAGCAGAATGAAATGGAGTGAGGAAGTTGTGAAGACTAGAGGCAAATGCTGAGGCCAATTAGGGGTTGTTACCCAGAAATTGGAGGTGCTGTCACAAGGAATTAAATTAAGAGAAATGGACAGAGCTGACAGATAATATAAAACAAAACTTGGTAGGTTGGTTTTTTATTTGGTATTCAAATTTTGGAGGAGAAAAGAGGTGGAGGTAAATAATACCAATTATCAAGCATACTGATCTGAAGAATGACATTTCCATTGAAAATATGAGGAACATCTATGTTATATCACTTGGGAGGTGGGAGAAAGATAAATTTGAGAGTAGATCTATTTATGTAGTTAAAAGTCACACCTAGTGAATGATTGGAAGACTGTATAAACACATGTAATTCCATCAATAACAGGATGTCTTTCTGACCTACCTAAACTCAGCATGTAATTCCATGCTCTGCCCAAAACAATGTCAGTCAATCAAATAAAATGATTTTTTATTCTTTAGTGGGGACTGATTTCCATTGTGTTTGTCTAGTTCAAAGTGATTCACTCAGGGAGGTCAATCTCTCCAATTGAACTATAATTTATTAAACACATTCAGCCACGTGACTAACTGTGCTCATTTGCCAAACCCTCCCGTATCCTAATCTAGCTTTCGCATCCAGCCACTCCTAACACCTGCAAGCAGAAGCTGCCACAAAGTTCCCATGTCATAGTTTTCTGCTTTATTCATTAATTGCTTCTTAGGGGTGAAAGTGAAAATTCACCCCACTTAATCTTTTACCTCTGGTTCTGAAAAGCATCATCCTTCCCTTCATCCTCTTCCCTAAAACGAGGTCTAAGATTTTCATCCCTAGCTTCATACCGTCTCTCATCTTAAACCCCTTTCTCCAGTACAAAGCACTAAAGATATCAGGGAATCTTGATACATTTACCTGTATTTGATTTAAAAAAAAAAAAAAGAAAGGCAATTAACAGCTACTAAATCCTGTGTGCCAGGCACCGTGCTAGGAAATCTATATTCATTATGTCTAACCTTTCTCACTATATCACTGTTCCAGTTTCCCACCTGAGGAAACTTAGGCTCAGACCGATTAAATAAGAATAAATACTGTGCTTAAAACCACAAATCTAGGAAATTGCATGATGAGATGTAGACCCAGTGTGTTGGACTCCAAGGCTATCCTCTTCTGATTTCGGACAGGTCTAGATTTCTGGATGTAGGATAGTGTTGGCAATTTGTTCTCCTCATCAGAAACCAGTGGTACAAAGGAATAATAGAAGAGAACCTCTTTTCACCTCACAGGCCCCAATGTGTAGACCTCTAAACATCTCACCCACTCTCCACCCAACAGGGTTCATGAGTTTGGAAAATTTGGGGGGAAACGAAATGGCACATTTCTAGTTAGTTTGACCTGAGGAATTCATTAGC